ACTGTGGCCTGATCACTTGATGGAATATAAGAGAGGTCATTTGACTTTAACCCTTTGGACATTCTCCGTTGAGAGAATCTGTGACAAATCAGTGACAAATAGTTGAAATGATCACATTTACATAATTGTAATTAGATGGTTACTAGTTTCAATTTTTATAATCAAACCATAAGACCTAATTTTACTTATAGAATAGAACATGCATGTCATAAAAGACATTGTAAAGGTAACGCTCCAGCTGGCAGAAGTCAAGTTGAAAGCAGGAGGAGGGAAGGGTGAGTGCAGGGGTGCGACTTTCTTCGTTTTACTTTGGGATGATACAAGAGATACTGTGTAAAGAAGATGGAACGAAAATACAGGATTATGTATACATCACTTAAAAGTATAAAGGCAGCTAATAGAAAAACCACACACACTAATACAACTAGCAAAACTTAGTGGAGAGAGAGAGGCAAGTGGAACGTGAGCTGAATTCCCTGTCTATCAAAGAAGATGGAAATGACTTGATTTCTACTGCTGGTAAATTAAGAAACTGAAATCTAAGCACATCATTTAGAATTATGGTGTTAACTTATCAAAAGAATTAAAAACAAAAGGTTTAAAGGGGTTTCCAATAAAGTGTGGGAATTGGGTAGGGGAGGTGATACAGAGTTTTTATTTAATAACAGTACAGTATATGCTCTTTGAATTTTGAAACTGTGCACACATTTAAAAATGTTTTTGAAAATACATTTATAAAAAATTGATGTTAACAGGTATAAAGAAAGCCTCAATTAAAGAGTAATTCTTCCCTAAAAAACAAAAAGAAAATAAGAACATTTTCAAATCAAGAATCTAAGCTCCACCTGCTATATAAAATAAATAAATAAATAAATGAAAAAAAGAAAAGGAAAAAAAAAGAATCTAAGCTCCTAGGACTTCTCTGGCAGTCCAGTGGTTAAGACTCCATGCTTCCACCACAGGGGGCACGGGTTCGATCCCTGGTCCAGGAACTAAGATACCACATGCTGCACAGCTTGGCCAAAAAAAAAAAAAAAAAAACAGAACCTAAGCTCCTATCTCAAGAAACCTAGTAAACGAAAACCAAAATAAATCAAGGGTAAGGAAGAAAATAATAAAGATAGGGCAGATACTAATGAAAATTATAACAAAACGAAAGAGTTCAGTGAAACAAATAGCTGGTTCTTTAAAAACAATAAATTAACAAACTTCCAGCTGAAAAGAAAAAAAGAGGGAAGATGCTAATAACCATATTGTTAGCATGTGCCCCTGATGTAACACAAGAAGTGTACTTCACACACCTGAGGTATTTTTCCCCAAAACTCATAACTCCAGTCTAACCATGAGAAAAATAGCAGACAAACCCAAGTCGAAGGAAAATACAATAAAATATCTCACCGGTACTACTCAAAACTGTCAAGGTCATAAGAAAAAGCTGATGAAGATGAAGAAAACTTAGAAACTGTCCCAGATCAGAGAAGACTTAGGAGACATGACAACTAAATGTAATATGGTTTTGTGGATGAAGTCCTGGAACATTAGTGGAAAAGGACATTTGTGGGAAAAAATCAGTTAAGTCTTAATAAAGTCTGGGGTTTAATTAATCATATCACACCAATAACTTTATTAGTTGTGACAAATGTATTCTGGTAATATAAGATGTTAACGATAGGGGTATATGGGAACTCTGCAGTATATCTCCAACTTTTCTGTAAACCTAAAACTATTCTAAAATTAAAGATTTGTTTGAAAAATTAAGTCACTGAATTAATTATTGTTTTCAGAGTACAAAGAGAAAGAGAAAGATAGGCTCATTAACAGAGGCTGATGGTTTAATGTTAATAAAGATCAGGAGAATAAAGAACTCCTAATTCCTACTTTGTCTCTGGTCTTCTATTTCAAGAATTTAGCTTGCAAAAGTAGAAAGGACCAAAAATTTTCTACAATGAATAAGTATTACTTTTTAACTTTAAAAAAAATATGAAAATGGAGGGTTTAAGAAAAAAGTACATTGGTAAGTACACTGGAGCAGAAGACCAAGATAAATTTTAAAATTCCAAGAATGTATCCAACTGCTCTAAATGAATTTATATTTTCCTGGAAAAAATAATGCCCAGGTTATTGAGAAATTTTGCCAGTGAGAACAATGAACCACAGAGGATGTTCTCTCTGAGAAATCATGGGGATTGCCACAGCCAAAAGACTAAAAACAGGCAAAGATTCCAATTTTCCAAAAGGAAAATAACATACTTCTGTAAGTCAGTATAAAGAGCCTGATGTCTATCTAGTACAACGTTTTAGTCATCAAGAGACATTAGGATACACACATTCAACCTACTATACATTAAAACAATCATCTCCTACAAATCTGACTTCCTTTTTTGACTGCAAAAGATTTGGCAGACAGGGTGCATTTTACTTCAGTGAAGTACACCACAAGCTGCCTCATGCAAATCCTTGGGATAAGCTGGAGAAATATTCTAGACAATAAAAATGGAGAAAGAGGGCTTCCCTGGTGGCGCAGTGGTTGAGAGTCCACCTGCCGATGCAGGGGACACAGGTTCATGCCCCGGTCCGGGAAGATCCCACATGCCACGGAGCGGCTGGGCCCGTGAGCCATGGCTGCTGAGCCTGCGCGTCCGGAGCCTGTGCTCCACAACGGGAGAGGCCACAACAGTGAGAGGCCCGCGTACCGCAAAAAAAAAAAAAAAAAAAAAAAAAAAATGGAGAAAGATTTCAAATGTATACTGCTAGGTTCTTTCTTCAGTCCAGTACTGTTTAACATTTCTGTAATTGACTTAGATGAAGATGTAGAACAACACTCATCAAATAGGCCCGTGATATGAGTCATAAAGCAGTAACACATAAAGCAGTAACAGAATCTGGATTCAAAAGGATACTGAAAGGATGTACTGTTGAGCTGAGCCTAGCAAGGTGAAATGTAATAGGGAAATAAGTCTATATTTGGGTCCCAAATTCAAATGCACAAATACAGAATGGCTTACTAGCAAAAAAAAAAAAAAAAAGACTCCGTGATATTTAATTGAAAGTCAGCTAAATATGAATTACATACAAAGAATGTGGCATGCCTGCCCAAACATAATAGTATCTACTGAGAGACGGCACAATACTGCTATATTCTAGTGATCCTACAATGCCCGGTGTATAAACAAACGGAAAGCTGCTCAGAAGAGTAACCAGGGTCAAATATATAACAGTTAGATAAATTTATAGGCAGAGGAGCAGCAGGTTTGGCCTGAGGAAAAAAATTGGGGGGTTCCAACATAGGTGTCTGAGGTGCTCTCACATGTAAGAAATCTTAGACTTATTCTAAATGGAACTAAAGCTAACAAGTAGAATTTAAGGATTACAAGTTTAATTTCAATATAATAGTGATGGTGATTCAAAGACAGAATGAGCTGCGTTTAGAGTTGAGCTTCCCTCCTTGGGGGCCAGATGACAAATTGGCAGGAATGTGGTAGAGACAAAGTATCAGATGGCTGGTTAGACTAGGGGACCTTTAAATCTTCCAACTCTATAATTTTAAAGATGCTACTTTTCTAGACTTTCTCTATGCCGAACTTGCGGCTTCAGTCCAATTACCACTGTTTCTGGAACAAGCCTTATTTATACACGTACTTTCCTGTACCCGCTCAGGCTATTCTATCACTCAGCAAAGACCAAGGATTTGTCTTTCTGAATCTATCAAAAATGAACTCAAATACTGTCCCTAATAAAAACTTCTATGCCTACCCTACTCTGATCTCTCTTGCCCCTGAATTATGAAATAGTGTTTGGCAGTTAATGACATACCAACTTCAGATACCTCTGCTTCTGTCTTAAACCGTTATTTAAACTTTTATAATAATTTCTCTCCTCTGCTAAATTTAAATCCCCTTAAAGGCAGACACTATTCCCTACCCGTCTAGGGGTACATGGCAGACATTCAAAAACAGTCTTTGAGGGACTTCCCTGGTGGCGCAGTGGTTAAGAATCCGCCGGCCAATGCAGGGGACACGGGTTTGAGCCCTAGTCCAGGAAGATCCCACATGCCACGGAGCAACTAAGCCCGTGCGCCACAACTACTGAGCCTGCACTCTAGAGCCCACGAGCCACAACTACTGAAGCCTGTGCGCCTAGAGCCCATGCTCCACGACAAGAGAAGCCACCGCAATGAGAAGCCTGTGCACCGCAACGAAGAGTAGACCCTGCTCGCCGCAACTAGAGAAAGTCCATGAGCGGCAATGAAGACCCAATGCAGCCATAAGTAAATAAATTAATTAATTAAAATTAAAATTAAACAAAACAAAAACAGTCTTTGATTTTCAATATTGGAAACATTTTTATTAGAACAGTTATTTTATTAAAAGGCACGTTTTTATAGGTAAATGGAAAATTCACCATTCAAATCTGAGTACTGGCTAATATGCATGACTTCCAGTTCAAATAGAGAACTACCAGAATGAGACATTGTCACCCACTGATAACATATTCTAACCAGAGGACTTTTAAAATAGTGAATCAAGCTCAGAAAAGTCCAAATTTTCCAACCTAAACATAGAGGTTGGTAAAGCTGCCTTAAAACCTTTCTTGAGCAAAAAAAGATTAACAGAACCAAACTAAAGAGTGAAAAATGTCAAGAAAAAAATCACATTTTAGGAAAAAATCGCATTTATTTCTTTAAATGTAAAACGTATTGATGTACGATGTGATATACAGACTGTAATTTTTTTTTTCTTTTTCATCACACTGTGTGGCTTGTGGAATCTTAGTTCCTCAACAAGGGACTGAACCTGGGCCACAGCAGTGAAAGTGCCAACAGACTGTAATTTTGATTCATGTAAATTGGAACACAAATTAAGAAAAAACAAACTGGTCACACAGAGCCCAGAACAGATGCTCACTCCCTGAACACCAACTAACAAATAAATGTCCTAGACAAATTAAAAGAGAATTCCTTATTAGCTTAGATATATTAATAAAGATTAGGAAATACTTACTGAAGATTCTGGATCTGACAGTTCATCCAATAATTTTCTTGCATCTACCACAGCTTGGTAGAGTCTCAGATTTTTGCCATCAGAAGCAACAAAGCAAGCACTCGCAGAATTGCAATATGTGCCTGAGAAAGTAAACACTTTGCATTATAATATATAGTTTATTTTTATTACTGGCTGAAGTATGAGAAAAAAATATTCACACTTCTCTTTTTAGACATAACCATGGTCCAGAAACACAGATACAATTAATAGATATAAAATTATTAACCAAAAAAATTCAACAGATAGGTTATGAGAGGGAAAAGATGAAAAACAAAAGTCTAGAAACTCTAAACTTAAGTCTGATGCCTACATTCTGAATACTTATTAAAAATCTTCCTAATGACAAATATAAACCATTTTGTATATAAATAACTGTTTTAAAGCTTTTTTAAATGAACACTTACCAAGACAGTAACTAGGAATAAGAGTTGGAAGCCAAGCAACATTAGAGAAGGCTGAGGTATGTAAAGAGTTAATTCGCGCCAACTCCGATACTCCTCCGGTGTATGACAAAGGTCCTATTGGGTCCACGCGCCACAGAATAAGTTCACTGTAGATGGCATTCGGGTCGTGAAATGTACGTGTTGCTGCATTTCTGAGAGGTTGTTTCGAGGAACCCTTTATGTGTCTTACAGGATCCATTAATCTACTTAATTTATTGTCTGAGTCCCACTGAAAATCTGATTCAGGAGTCAGCAGAGCATTATGATGAGATGATGTCAATAATAATGGTAAAACTGAATGACATGCCAGGTCATTGAGGTGAAATCTATGACCACAATATCTAAATTTGTGAGATACAGTTAGAACAGTGGTAAAGGCAGACTTATCAGCAAAAGTGACTGCCCATTGATTTAAAGAGCCATCTATGTGTTTAGAGACCATCATTACTGTGGGAGCTAAAATGTTCATATTTGTACTGTGTGGTCCAGAATGCAGCTGTGATCCATGAGGACTGCATTCAGCCATCATGTCTTGGTGTAACAAAGTGTGGTGAGAATCTTTTGCAGCATTTATACAGGCATACATCATGATATTTTTACTAAGAGAGCTTGCATCACCAGATGGAAATGCAACAGGAATCCGAGAAGAAAAAGAAACCTGAAAAACACAATTACATGATTCAGTGCAAGCAGTCTGCCTCCTCTCAAAGTCTTCCAAAAATACTTCCATTTTCAAACTGTCAAACCTCAGCTTCCTAGCAAAATATATCATTTTCGACCTTATTATGGTCTAATCTTTTTCCTCTATTTATATAGTATCATATATTCATCGCGTATGAGAAAACTGAAGAAATAATTTCAAGTATTTGAAACTTGAAACTTGCCTGTACATCTAGATGACTACAACCATAAATCTAAACAAATACTGTTCAGAAAGATAACTGATAAAGATAGTAGATTTAATTAATAAAACTGAAGAAGTGGAGGGGATGCATCCTGAGTCGCATTTTTAGGGTAGTTTCTTAAGTTTATTCAAAATATTGTGAATTCCCAGAAAAAAAAATGAATACACATACATTCAAGTACTCAGTATCACATTTCAAAGCCAAATTCACTTTACTTAAATTAATCAAGTTTATAAAATCTGTGGTCACTGACCCCCTTTGGTAGCAAGTTATTCTCTTCTCAGTTGCTTATCAAAAATAAAGTCATTGAGTATTTCTGAACACCTGCTAAATCTGAATAGCAACTGTTTTACTTTTTTAAGAAGTGTAAAAATTGCTTCATCAGTAAAGTATACCTGGACTTGTCTAAATATTCCAGGATTATATTCATCCAAATACTTTACATGCCACACTAGGAAGGTACCATCTACCGGGTGTATAGTAAAAAGCATGTCAGGATTCTTATTCCATTCAGTTAGCAGCATTTCAATCTTCCGA